TTCAAAAGGTTTCAAAGATAAGCGTGGCTGCCATAAGTCACACATGAGCGGGAACTACATTTTCAGATTATTCCTTCACCATAGAAAAAAAACCCTATAGTTTGTTGGTACTGTGAGTGGCATTTCTATAAAATGGTGTTGAGATGATATGGTCTACAGAACGAGCTTGAGTTGCACAAGTATGATGCGGAATCAATACATTGAAATCCATGCACTATGTTGTTTATGTTTGAACCACCATACACCAAAGCAAATTCCTTATTTGTGTAAATGTCCTTGAAATATACTCGATTCTGATATATGATGGTAATCAATGAATGCAACTAACGCCATACTTGGCTAAAAGTATACATTTCCAAAGGATCCTTACCTGTACCAAGTCAAACTATACATTGAAATGTCGTCAGAGGACGGTGCAATGACTATAAATATGTGGCACATGTAATTCAAATACAGCTTATCAACACATCAATCACTGCTCCTCCTCAGATGATGGTTGTTGCCATCCTGGTGGGGGGTTCATTGGTGGGGTTATTAAAATGTCGGTGGTGAATGTCTCTCATGCCTCTTATGACAGGTCCTTCTGAAGTGTGGCAGACAGCACAGCACGCTGCCCGCCACATTATTACTCTCCCATTAGAATACATTAGCATGATCAGCTCAGTAGGAGCAGCCTGGCCCGGGTGAGATGAGAGAGAAATGCCACAGGGCTCACTGGGTCCCATCTAGATAGGAAGTGGAGAGACGGGACAGTCACTAATCAATGTCTCATTATGTGATACAGCGGCGTAAATGACTGACAGAAGCAGTGTTTCTGTAGTCATATGGGGAGAAACTCAGGATGTGAGGGGGGTTTATCTAGGCCAACGACCAAATGATTAACTGGTACGACTCAGGCTTTAGAGGCCGTACAGCTTGTTACTTTGTAGTTAAAAGCCATAAAAGCACAATAAGTCACGTTCCATTTAATGGCTGAGCGACTGTGACTTCCGACCCTCGCTTTATTAAAAAGAGCCCAGTCTCCACTGATAATACTGGGTAATGGATGATGAGAGCACGTTGAAATATCAACAGTCTCTCCACCTGTCCTGCCAGGCTTTTACTCCACAATTTCCTCTATCGATTATCGTCCACGTGACTGATGCGGACGACCGCAGATCAATCTGTCCTGCTGTCGATGCCTGGCCTCGGGAGTGGAGTCGATTCATGATGACTCTGTAGAAAGCTCATCAGAGTGTGGTAGCAGCAGCAGATACACAAGTGAGGACACACACCTTTGCCCAGTCCTGACCCTGTCTTTCTACCGCGATGCAAACGGCGACCTATGACCCAATGTGAAAGGATCCCCTCGAAACCCAGACCAAGTTCAAAGCTGCTGCTCAGATTAACATAACTAATGGCAGTTCATATGCTCAAGGAACTAATGTGAAATTTAAATTCTTCAAGAACTTTATAAAGAGAGCTGATGGATCAGCAAAAACTCCTTTGAGATACATTAGCTGATCACCTTGGTGGCACTTTTTCTGCTTTGGTTGCGGATGATAAAGTGTGCTAATTTCAGATCATATTTAATCCAAAACCAAACTGTATTCTGATTGTAGTTGATTGTTATCAAAACATATCCTAGGGATGGGCAAATAATTATGATTTTTAATACAGTCCAATGGTTATTCAAGATTACTGACTGGCAGTTTGATTGGCACTACTTCGTCTTAGTGTCATAGAAAAAGGTAACATCTATTTGGGGATCTTATGGGTATTGGTAGATGCCAAAGCTGACAACATTTGAATTGCATTTGGGTGAAAGGTTTTTGATCATCAGCTTAGGAGCTTTGATATTATTTAACCTTTCTGAAAGGCATGAATACAGTATATTAAAACATTAAGGCGCTATTTTAATTGCAACCAGTTTATACTCTAACACATTTGAATTGGTCCATTCAGGCTGGTGTAAAAAAAAAAAAATCGCAATCCAACTCCGACCAGACCGAAAAAACCGATTGAACCTGCCCAAAAAGTAAAGTCTTGATCTGATTCCAATTGGACTTGCATGACTCCAAATGTAGATCCACAAATAAATCCATTCGCTGATTGGAACTGTCCAGACAGAAAAATGTATGAACAATCAGTATAATTATGTCTGATTTAGTAACCATCATATACCTTATGCAGGTTAGACAGAAATGTGTTTTTGTCCTTTTTCATATAATTCCTAAAACACAGAAACTATGGACCTTTTTTTATCCTTTGTATACCTGTCCATAATTGTCCATGACATATGAACATGTTGGTAAAGTTTCTTAAAACTATGTATCATGTAAAAAATGATCAACTAACATGGAAAGTGAGCTAATTAGTCAATTCCTTTTTTTGCCGGCTATTATTATCTCTTTGTTGACCCTCTTTCTGATTTATTCTGATTTGTTTTGAAGGTATTCCTTGAAACTGATATGTGTTAAACAACTAACCATGTTAACCCCAATTGTCACTTGGAACTCACATTATTATATTTTATTTAACTTAAATGAAAAATGTCATATTTTAAGATAATCCAAATTCAGTCTACAATTTCAAACCAAGTTCTCCCACACTACACCGCTCCTCAGCTCCCTTCACTGACTGCCAGTGGCTGGCAGAATCCGCTTCAAGACACTGGTATTGGCCTAGAGAGCTGTGAGGGGATCGGCCCCTTCCTACACCCAGGCCTTGGTTAAACCAGACACTCCAGCACGTGCACTACGCTCGGCTTCAGCCAATCGGCTTGCTACTCCATCACTGCGAGTCAAAAACACGCCTGTTTGCTCTCCTGGCTTCTAAATGGTGGAATGAGCTCCCCATTGACATCAGGACAGCAGAAACTCTGCATATCTTCCGTCGCAAACTGAAAACGGACAGCCGTTTGTGTGTGGTATGCATCAAGAAAACACAGCAGGGGAATAACAACTACGTAAAAGTCTTGGCAACAAGCATCAAATATAAAAGGAATCGGTTACCTTCAGCGGTTCAGCCTGCGTACTTTCCCTACACGCTTCCTTTTTTCCAACCTTGACCCGAACACCCTGCTAACTGAATCACATTAACATGGAGAACAGGAGCACCGAGCACTTATGAGTTTGGAATTAGTTTAGCTCAAACTCATATCAACTTTGAGGAGTCAGCTTCCTGAAGTGTACTTACTCTCACAGCAGCAACCTAAACTCTGACACAGAAATAGACCCGCAGCAGATAGGTACCCCACCCCCCACAACCACGCCATCTGTGGTGGTGAGGTGAGGTGACGTGCAACAACAACATTAACCTTTCTGTTGGATTTTGTTATTTATTTTGGAGTTAGATGCATCAATCTGGTGCATTTTGAGGGGAAAATAAAGAGACTAGATCTATGGGAACAGAACACCCATATGAAACAGAAATGTATACATTTCAATAATCATAAAATCATGGCCATAACCAATAACATATCCAATATGAAAAAACACTGAAACTTGTTTATTTATGTATTTTGGTTCATTTATAGTTGTGAGTGTGTCTGTGCTCCTGAATCAGCCTCTCCTGTCTCCCTCCTCTCCCTTCTCTCCCTTCTCTCCCTCCTGCTCCTCTTTGAGGCAGCAGCAAAGACTAGTTTTAGCTCTCAACAAGTTTTAAAAGTGTATCTTACCTTTTTTCACCTAGTCACTACCCCCTCAAATGGAAATATGTGTTTACATAAATGGTGACCAAACCGTTTGAGACCCACTGAGAACTTAGACTAAGTTAACTATCTAAACACTCAGAGAGTCCTTTACCTCACCTGAGCTGAGGTTATCCTGAGCTTGAATGACACACAGAGACCAATCAAGGGCTTTGATTTATGATCTGTATGACAGTGGCCATGTCTGCAGGCCAGATCATGTAGACAGCCAGTCACCCTGTGTGAGGCAGAACCAAATTTTTTCTCCAAAAGAACTACCATGTTTGCGGCTTCAGCGTATATTGGGAGGTGGATACAAGGTTGCTCTGACAGAGAGAGGACACAGAAATAATGAGTTGTGTCTCCAAACATACTGGCGTGTGCACTGTGCATGCTGGTTTTGTCCATGTGCTATAGACAGAAGGGGATATGGCCCACCAGATGTACACTTACAAGGTCAGCAGAGAGAAGTAACAGGGATATGGTCTGGATGAGGATAGACAAAAGAGAAATAGGGGATATGTTCACTAAGAGAATCATCGCCTCCTAAATGACTTAACTTTACTGATCATAGGTTTGTTGTCCCATACTGAAGAAAATGTGATACATCCTGTCCTAATTAGTCTATTATAAGTCTAGTCTAGTATAAGCATGGTCTTATGGCGCATTTCCATTGCAGGGCCTCGCTCGGCTTAGTACGGTATAGTTAGGCCTTGTTAGGCCTTATTAGGCCAGGCTCACTTTATGCTGCGTTTCCATTACAGTTTAGTAGCTGGGGCAGTAACTATAGTAACGCAGTGTAGGCGGAGCCGTGACGTCATCTTCAATGCGAACCACAGAAAAACAACATCAGCCGTTAGCTGTTAGCCCTCAAGCTCACAGCTCCTCATATCTGTTCAGAAACTAGACAAAAGTTAAACAAACTTAAACCACAGACTGTCTGTGTCATGGCGAATACAGTCGCTGGTTTATTTATGTCTGTATAGGCCGTTGTTGTGAGTGTGGACGGTCGGAGCATACTGTATACTGTGTTAGCTTAGCCGATCTCCATTTAGAAAACACGCATTTTAAAAGGTTTTAATTTAATTAATTTGCGCAGCGTTGCGTTCACAATACATAAAAATGTGTGGGAAACCCTGATATTCTAAGGTGGTTGATTACATTTTGAGAATTGGAACTCTAGCAGGTTTGTTGAAATCTTTTTACAAGTTGGGAAATGGTAAAGAACATTTCAAAAATGTGAGTGTTTTTGAGTTGTCATAACCCCATAGATTTGCCCTCATCAGTTCCTCCACAAACAGACGGACAGAACCCTCGCGGGGTCTCTTACCTATGGTGTAGCCCCTCTTCAGCTCCCCACACCGGGGGCTGCGGCGCTGGGAGTTGTTGGTGTTGTTCTCCTGCACGGCCAGGACGGCTGTTGCCTTGGCAACAGTTGGTGAAGCCTTGTTGGGGGGTGAGGCTGGCACCAGGGTCGGAGAAAAACCTTGAGTGGCAATATCGACGGACTGTGACTTCTGCTTCAGTCTGCAGGAAGACAAGGAAACCATGGAAGCAGAACACGTTAATGTTATGTCTGTGAAATTGAAAACGATTACAAGTGCCATTGGGAATACACAGCGGTGGGAAATGTTGCGTGACCTTTAACGTGCAAAGGCAGAGCAATCACAGACATTTGCATCTGGGGTTGTTGGTGTCAATGTGCAGTGTCACAGAAATGTAATCGGCCAAGACCATTTTTGCAGCGACAAGGAAGTTGGAGGAAAGAATCAATAGGCTAATCACACCCTTGTTAAGGGTGAATTAATTAGCATCGCTCGGCGCTCAGTGCTGAGTCTTCTCTGCAGTAAACAGGGATAAAGCTGCTGGAGGGACAGCAGGAGGAGAGAGGTAAACTCCTGATGGAGACAAATCTCTGAGAAACAACCTGAATATGAAATTCTGGAGCAAAGGTAAAGCAGCTTGTTGTGGTGAAAATGTTAAAGAAAAGTGCTTTAATTTAATCTTAAATGGACAACTATAACTTTATTTTCAGCTGTTTTAGCCACCTAGTCGCAAGTACTTTTCCCAGGAATAGTCCCCGGAACTTTTATTTCCCCGGAACTATCTAGTAAATCACGTTCACACCGGAATAAGTCCCTGAGGGAGGATTACGCAAATGCCGCTGACGTCACTTCTTCTGCTTTGGGTTTACTGGCAGGCCGCAAACAACTTCACGGCGTATACTGCCACCCGAAGTCCCGGAGCCCCCCGGAGTCCGGGACTTTGGGTGGCAGTAAATCGCCAAAAGCGCCAACACCTCCTCATCACTCCACCGATCCCACGTTTTATTTTGTGTTGCCATAAGTTAGTCTCTCTCTGTTGGTGCGCTGGGCTAATGCTAATGCTAATAATGCTAATGCGAGGAAATAAAATGGCGGCTTCACAAAAACTTTTCAGAGTTTTACGGGGCGTGGTTTGCAATTCGCCCAGCCAATCGACATTGGAACCTTTTTCTCCCCTTTTTAGTCCCTGCTCTCCAGCAGGGACTAAAAAAAGGGGTGAAAAGGTTCCCGAAAAAAAGATCTTTTTGGTGTGAACGCAACATCCCAGGAACTATCGGAACTATTTCTGGGAAAAGTACGGTAAAAGTACTCCGGTGTGAAAGCGCCTTATGACATCACCCATTGGTTAGAAGACTTCTGTTAAAGCGTTGAATTTGGCTTTTCGGCCTCCGCCATCTTGGTTTATGGTAATACTGAATTGACGAAGACTTAACACTAGCCATTCTGATCATTAGGAATCATTTTCCCAGGTAATATGCCAAATGAGAAGAAGGATAACTTTTCCATAGACTTCTATACAAACAGATGAAATCAAAATCAAGATTATTTTGTATCACTTTAAAACATCTGCATGTTCAGGCAACCCTCTAAATCAGAGATCTACAGCAGCCCTACTGTATGTCCCTCGTTAGGATTACGCTTTCCAAATTATAAATCTTTTTTGTGAGTTTCTAACAAGGTCAATAATCCGATTTCAAACCCTGTTGACACTATTTATAGTCTGCATTATTTTGCAATTTCCATTCGGAGTGTATTTTTCTCTATATAAAGTCGTTTTCATTGTTTGAGTCAGACTTCACGACTCTCACACTGTAGTCCAGAAACAGCATTTCTTAATGAAATCACCAGTTTAGAATGAATGGTTTTCCTTGAACACTCTTCAGTAGGAAAAGGCTTTGGAAGTAGAGTGCTTATGTAAAGTGTATCAAAGGCTGAGCTAGGTCAAATCAAATCTGCCTACGACAACTCCTCAAAGCCTATTAAAACGTTGACCAGATCCTGGGTTTGCAGTTTATAAAAGACTCCACTGGGCTAATCTGAACAGGTAATCCAAAAACACTCAGCAGCAGGTCTATCCACTTACATGTGTTCTCATGTATAACACACCATAAAATGTACACCTCATGACAGAAAGGGAAAAAAGAAGATCATATTTGGCCGCTCCTGTAAAAACTTGGAGTCAAATAAAGGGAGAAATGGCTCCTGGAACACTATCTATCTGCAAAAGTCCTGAAACAGCAATACGAGATTCCCAGCACTCCGCTCCCTCGCACACACTTTCAATCATTCCAGCAAAACTGCTGAAGCGAACACAATATTTTCTGGCCATTTCACCCAAGTGCCCATCCCCTGACGGACCAAAGCAGCACACATGACATAGTGTCTAACTGGCTAATGAAAATGCATAATCTCCATGGAAATGCTGTCTGTCACTGTGTGTGTATCCTTTTGAAACCGATCGAACCAAACAGTCCGGTGGAGGAGACAAACAGGGTAGACTGAGCTGTGAATAAACACAAGACAGAAATTATGTTCTGCTTCACAGAAGTGTTCCAAAAAAAGTCTAAAATAAACACACTCGCTGGCCTTTTTCCTACGAATATATTTGGCAAAAAACCCCTCCCAAAAAAACCCACAATCTACTCCGGTGCTCGTTAAAAGTGTTTAAAGGGGCCCTATGATGCTCATTTTCAGGTTTATATTTGTATTTTGTCTCTACTCTGACATGTCTCCATGCTTTAATGTTCAAAAAGCTCTTTATTTTTCTCATACTGCCTGTGCTGCAGCACCTCTTTTCACCCTCTGTCTGAAACCAGAGCCCAGTCTGCTCTGATTGGTTAGCTGGCCAGCTCTGTTGTGATTAGTCAATCGCTAAGAGATGTCCCGTGCCTTAGCCAATTACGTACAGTGTGTTGGATTGCTAGCCAAAAGAAGCACCAGTGTTACATAGCGATGTCACTATGTTACGGAAGTAAACAATGGAGGCATATAGGGCCTCTTAAGATAAATACATATATATTGCTTACTGATTTGCAGGTATTAAAAGTTTTCACTAAGTGACAGAAAGGCCAATAAAGTTAGTTATCCAGATTGTGCTAATTTTAAGGAAACAATCTGTTTGTTTGGATGGAACATAATGAGGTTGGAGAATGAGTGAGAACTGCTGTTAATAGCTACGAAGGACGAGAGAGGGACAGAAAGAGAGACAGAGACACGGAGAGTGAGAGAAAAGGGGGGGGGGAGAGAGAGAGAGAGTGTGTCAAGCTGTGTGAAGTCTATCTGCGCTCCCTTAGGAGTTGGTACTAATTACTGTCTCATCAGTAGAGCAGAAGCCCCTCTCCTAGCTCTGTTTCACTGAGCTACAGTACAAGGCCAAACGGCATCAGTGAAATGGAAACAGAAGCAATGTCAATCTGCCCGAATGCTGCATCATTTACATAAACTGTGATTACAACTGTACAACAATATATACATATTTAGACATGTTATGCTCATTTTCAGGTTCATATTTGTATTTTGAGCCTCTATGACATGTTTCCAAGCTTTAATGTTTGAAAAGCTCTCTATTTTTTTAATATCATACTGCCTGTGCTGCAGCACCCCTTGTCACCCTCGGTCTGAAACCAGAGCACAGTCTGCTCTGATTGGATAGCTGGCCACACAAACACACAACAGGAAAGGCACAACCCGCCGCTTTAAACTATACTTTTGGAAGTAGGATGGTTGGTTGTTACATAGTCATAAATCACTATAAAAAAGAAGCATTACCTACTCTTGTTATTGACATCCACAGTGGACTCTAAAGTGTAATTACTGACTTAATAACAGTATCAACTGACCATTGGTAACAGTAACAGTGCTCACTGGAGTGAACTGGCATCGCTACTGTAACCTGATATCTGGTCTAACAGCGGAGGATAGTTGTTGTTTTTCCTCACGGTCCTCAAACAATCCACCTTAAGCTCCCCGCTGTAAACTTTTCGTACTATGAAGCTTATTATTTTTTTTTCTTGCTGCAGTATATTTACTGTCGGGTCAGCGTTTTCTTCCACTTACTGGCTGCGTGGTGCCAACACTTCCAACTGCCTCGGGCTACTCTGGTAACAATGTCCTGGTCACGGATCACCTTGTTGGACCAATGAGGGGACAGCGGTCACTTGTCAACTGCATGACAAGAATTTGATAAATGCTGTACATGAGGCCATTCTTGTTCCAATCATTTTTAATTTCACAGATGTCCTTCTGTTCCCTGAGGCCCCATTAGGAAGTAGGGACGCTGCTAACAGCTGACTTGTGGCAAATGTACTCCTTTTAGGGTTGTGTAGGTTACTTTAAAAATGTATTCAGTCATAATGACTACTTAACTGCAAGTCAATTTAATCAGTAACCTTTCTTAAAGTACATTCCGTTACTTTTGGATTACCTCAATTTCAAATGCAATGCCAATAAATTGCAAATGCCGTTTCAGTTTAGAACATGAATTAAAGCGGACTGTATTTTTGTTCAACAAATCAGGTGTCCACCTACTGCATTAAAAAAGAAGAATAATGAAAGTAGGAAATATTAAAAGCAAAAGCAAATTCAGGTAAAGGCCTATACCTAATACTGACATTACAAAATATGATCATTTACAATTTAAAAAAAAGGCATTTACCTGTGAATGCCTCTTTAAATTAGACGAGGACTCTTGGATAATGATGATTTCTTTGGGTTTTTGTCCTGATTACATCATCTCGTTACATGTATTCTGAAAATCCCAAAGTCTGGTCCTTTCTAATGTAAATCTCAACTGTGCACACAACATAACTGAAACACGACTCAGGTACGTTTATCATTGCTGTTAATTGAGTTAAAAACAAATATGATCACTTATCTATCGTGAGAACATTTCTTAGCAGGTTTCCATTAACTTCTCAAGTGTAAGTACTGCATATGAAGAGGGAACAAAAACAACAATGTTGATTCAAACCTATTTACACATAGCGACACAAAGAGCACCGTTTTAGTGCGATTTTAAATTGTGCAAGCTATATTACTCAGTCACACAGTCAATCTGAATTTTTTTTTGGAGTGCGATCAGTACGTTTGGTAAAACATTTATAGGACTTGACTGTATGTAGAGAACTCACAAATCCTGCATTAAGCTACGACTATGAAGTGTTAGAAAGTGCAGACTCTCACAACCTAACTGATGATATCTGT